AACCTCCGAATCTGGAGAAGAGAGTCTTGATGTCCTGAGCGCCCACGATCAATCATGATCAATTAAGATTTTACCGCGTTACTGGGAGTCGGACCTTCCGAGCAGCAAGACTCCCATCCCCAGGTTCGAAAAGTCTGCCTGCGAGCCAACCCACATCGATGGAAACATTAAGCTGAAATCACAAACAGTAGTCATTGGTTTCTCTAAAGAGTGATTCACGGGTAGCAAATTACTGGTTGAAAAACAGAATTACTACCAGTGAATCAATCTTCGGCCATTTTTGCTACTCAACCAAGGGTTCCTCATTGACCTGCGTAGTGAGTAATTCGGTTGCGCCCTCCGCGGACACTGGCAGTTGGTTCGGTTTGGTGTAATCGATTCGCCGTACGCGGCAGTCGCGGGCTAGTAGCCTCGTTATTACAGTTCCAGCGTTTTTTATACAGCTTGAACAATATGCTATAATTATTTTGACGTGTTATTATTATTATTCTATCATCACTGCTTTTGTTCCTATATTCCTTATTCGCTGCACCGCTTCTGCCTCATTCTGCTATATTTCTTCCCGCGCGACGTCGCTCTGGCCGCGAAGCGAACAATCCGAATCAACTGCACTACACCCCTAAGGTTTATGTGGTCAGTCAATCGGGTGCGCCCTACCGTACCCCGCAAGAAAACCTGGAATTACGAAGGTGTCGCAAAACTCCCTATTTAGCTTAATAGTGATAGTGAAAACAGAACATTCACCATAGAATTCTTCAAACTATTATTAATTCAATTTACTCCATTGCTGACTTACGTGAAGAGATGTATTCTGGCTAAATTCATGATACGATACGGTAATAAACTGCACGATGTCCAGGCTGTTGTAGCGAAGATGAAAACTAACGACTTGACCTGTTGAATTAAAGATTATTCAGCAAAAATTTGAAAATCACTATAAAACCAAGTCTTACTTTGTTTTTAAATGCCGATGTATCACCTCCACTCCCGGCATTTCGTTTTTGTCGAGTCAAATTGAATAAATATATGGAAACGATTAACGATGACGTCACAGGTAGTACACAGAAAAGTATTAGGAATATTTCGTAGTAAAACTTTTTACCCGGCGACATGTAAAGTTAAATAATTTGCTGAATACGAACAACTTACAAAAAAAAGTAGAAACTGAAATCCAAGTAAAAAGTAAAAGGCTGGAGTGTTTGAAACTTATCTGAAGAGAGCAATCAAACGAGTGAATATAAACAATGTTGAAGAGCCAACAATAGGATATGAACCTGAAGTGGGACGAGACGATCAAAAGACGAGTAAAGTAATAACTTTGTTTCTGTTGATCTGTTGGCGTACGCCATGCTTCCGACCACCACTCGAAATCGCATAGATATTTGAATGCGTAGTTATTACGCCAAGACCGGTTAGCTGATGTCCAGATCGAGAAGTTTTCGTTTGAACAAATGGATCGGGATTTCGAAAGTTTGAGCAGTACTCGACTCGCGGATAACCCTAAGAACAGTGCTGCTTCTTGTCACAGTCCACCACCCAGATGATGCGTCCCAAAGAGATTGATCGGGTTACGTTTTCGTCCAGATTCCTAGCTGTACCGATTCCATCCGTTCTGCGTTTCCCCATCTTTAACTTGATTCCTCGACTATGTGGTACATATACCTGTAGAGCTTTTACTGGTACAACTACTAGTATGAAAAAATAGACCAAGGTCATGTGAGCTCAAACTAGAAGCAAATATCATATAAAACGAAGGCTACAGGGCCAACTGGTCACTATGGCCACTACTTCTACATCACCTTTGAAGTTTCCATGTCCTTTTATATCTTTTATGGAAAATAACTCTTCCTACTCATATTTCTGAGTTGCAATGAGAAGAATAGCCCTGGACAGAACCTTCAGTACTAGAGCACCCCAGCACTTCCATAAGAGCGGGTTTGCCACCTCTGTCAGGTCAAATAGACACTGAACTGGTTAGGGTTATGAGCGGGAGTCGAAGGCATGGCATACACCTGACGAAAACTTACCAAAGCCAACTATTCGTTGCTTGCACCTTTCACTACTCATACAAAAAAGAAGCAAAATAAAACTGCTTACCCAACAGAAAGTCCCCAAATGAGAAGACAAAATAAAGCAGCTCTCCGTTTCGACATTGATCTATCATAATTGAGGGGCCAACGGAAATAAATTAACTGAAAATTTTAATAGCATATAACTAAGTAAGTTATGTTAAGGTAGTCAATACAAAAGGGGATGATGGTTGGTCTCAAACAGAAAAGTCAGCGGCCAAACAGAAAAGTCAGCTGGGTGTGTTGGAGCACCTGATCGCCAGTGCTCAGTCGACCACAAGGTACTGTTCTACCCCGAGTACAAGTTGCCTGTACAAGATTTTTAACGACTTGCTAGATAGCTAGATAGTAGTATTACTATTTGAAATTGCTGGACTTTTCAATTTCATGATGTTTCACTCAAAGCTGAACACCCCCCTCCCTCCCTCACTTCCTCCCAGCCTCCATGCACTGCGTAGGGTTGTTTGGGTGGGTTTACAAGGGTAACAAACAAAAGGCTGAAATTGCGCTTCAGGAGTATGCTGATAACCCACCAGCCCTGGCCAAAGGTCAGGAAACTCACTCTACTGGCGCTTTACTCATAGACTGTAAAAGAGGATCCCGTTCAATATCCTGAAGGAATTGGTCCCATCGTCTGCTCATTGAATAGAATCGATAAAATATACCTTATCAATATTCAGCATAGTAAGCGATAAGCCAGATACTGCTAATCCTGTCCAATTGAAATAATGAACAACTGCACATAAGTGAATTTGTTGAAGAAAATCATGCTTTCGTATAAGTAATTCGTTCGGATGGCAAAATACTGAAAAGGAAGACCTGGAATTAGGGCTAAAGAAGTAGTACAGTAGGAGATAACCCAGTCTGGGGAATATCAGTGACACCAATTACGGTGTGCTATACCTAGGACAGCTGAGATTGTTATTGTTGTTTTTTATGGTCCGTTCACCATAAGTTTTGTTTTTCATCTTTTTCCTCTAATTTTAGAAATTATGCTCGTCCAGAAATATCACGGCTATTCGAAATTCAACAAAACTTCAAAAAGTTCCAAATCTTGTCTCCCGAAGGTGCTTTCTTGATAGCACTAGCACAGAATTTTGGAAATTTTCCGGTTATTTCTTTTTCAAAGTGAGCTGTAAACACGTAGTCGCCTACAGTAAGATAATTACAAAGGTCCACAACATTGGCTCACAACGGTATGCTCTTCAGGTGGACGCAGCAAATGGAGAACAGAAGCATTTACAAAAAGTTGAAACTATTGTTTGTAATTGTCTCCTGTACCTACATAGCTATATTACAATAGGAACAGCCAAATGAAAAATCAAACTTGTAAGAGTATTCGACTTTACCAGTTAATATAAGATCGCCGACAGTCATATTAAGAATGAATAAATGCATTGTGTCACCACTTCGTTTGAACAGCTTTACCGCACAAAATATTACCATAACATTGAATACGGTAGCTGCCATACTTGCCGCCAAGAGAAGGTCATCTGTCTGAAATGAGGGGAAATATGTAAACAGAAGACACATGTGTGACTAGCAAATTCCTAAATTTACAAAATTTCTGTAAAATTCTTGAATTCAGCCATTCGCCGCACTTCAGAAGGTATTTCCATCCCTGCGCCTCTGCCAGTGATTAGAAAAACGTTCCAAGAGCTATGGTGGTTAAAATTTTGCATACCGTACACTACGAAACACCGCCCGAGAATGCGTTTTCTTCTTACATGACCCTGTTCCCTCCCAGAGCTACGGCCTACTGTCGTCTGCCATGAGTACGACGACAAGGAACCACGCAAACATCTGGGTGTTGTGCATTAGGAACGAAATGGTCGCGTCGCGGTGAGAGGGGCGTCGCGCGCGAAGGAATGTGGCAGGGTGCAGCAGTAGGTAAGAAATACAAGAACAAAAGTACTAATAGTAGATTTATGCATAAATTAATGATCGCATATCGATTGAGCTGTATGAAGAACGCTAGAGCTGTAATAACGGCGAATGAGGGGTCCGCGACAGCCGCGTGCGGCAAATCGATTACCCAAAATCGTTCCTAACGCCCGTCTCCCCAAACATCTTGGTCTAGCAACTCGCTTATTGGTTCACAGGAGCGGCCAAGCATTCAACACCTCCTGACAATAATTATAAATAACTAATGAAATAAAACGAAAATTTTATCAAGCTTCCACAAATTATCATAAACTTCACGTTGAAGTTCTTAGGAAGTGGGTAAAAAACGGGGCGAAGCGAGAAATCCGAACTGGGATAGAACCTTTTCAGCTTGAAGTTAGAGGTTTGCACCACTATGTATAGTGAGCGGTCGTCGCAGTTGAGATCCTTAGCGGTAGATATTCCTGCTAGCTAATATGAAAACTGCAGGAAAATGGTGTTAATACTCAAACCAAAGTCTATCGTAAGATTTCTTTGTTAAATACACCTTTTATACAAATTGGGTACAAATTCACGGGAGACGGGCGTTAGGAAGGATTTTGGGTAATCGATTTGCCGCACGCGGCTGTCGCGGACCACACATTCGCCGTTATTACAGCTCTAGCGTTCTTCATACAGCTCAATCGATATGCGATCATTACTTTATGCATAATTCTACTATTAGTACTTTTGTTCTTGTATTTCTTACCTACTGCTGCATCCTGCTGCATTACTACGCGCGCGACGCCCCTCTCACCGCGACGCGACCATTTCGTTCCTAACGCACCACACCCCAAATTCACGAGAATTTCTGGCACTTTTAGCTACCGTCAAGGCTGTTTACGGTAGCGATGCAACTGTAAGAGGTGCGGAGTATTTGATAGGCCAATGAAAGCCTCAACTTCTGAAAAATTTGTCTTGTCCATGCTCTAGGGAACTTATGATTCTCATGGT